TAGTATTGGATGAAAATGAGCTTTACACACGGACCTCCCATACGAACAGTAAAAAAACAGTAAAATATTTAGTATAAACCCATTGTATACAGTACCTCATGTCTCCAATGCCATTGATATTTTATTGCCATGCAGTATAAATTTAGCAGACGGTCGTGTTCACTTAGGAAGGCAAATGCAGTGTACAGTAAATACGCATGTAATATGTTTACTACAGCCGTATCAACAGGAAACTTGTTGGTCGTTTATTGCAAAATCTTTATGAACTAGATCCTGTACAACTTGAGGGTAATGTTATCTCATACAAGCTAGCGGAGTCTACAAGAGTTCGATGTGGAAGGCGTAGCTGTATTCACCTCTATGTTTTTTCCATGTCTTTGACCGTTTCACTGTATAAAGCATTGATGAAGGTCTGGTTGTTGAATCCAATGCACTATCGTCCAGTCAGGGACGGATTGTCGCACAAGTGGTGTGGCCTGTACGGCCAGCAGTGCAGCTCCTGCCGCCAGTTTAAAGCACGGAATCCCCGTGGAAACCGTTTGTCGCTTACGGTGCGGTGTGGTCACATTCGTGGTGGGTTGTCGTACGTATATCATTTTGACGTTGTAAGATTTTCATGTTCACACTTACTATCCCAAACTATGTGGAATACATTCTTCAAACTAAACAAAAAATTGTAAAACTCCAGGATAGCGTAAGTCGTCATCATTCATAGGAGGAAGCCAGCTCAGCATTCCCAGGAATTCCATTCTTAGGAAAACTCTTGAATATGCCTTGAAACCCATTGTGTTCTTTCATATGCAAGGATAACGTTTTGTTGTGTGTTTATTAGTTGTATTTTGCTGTTTGTATGCATATGTGCACGTGTATACCCTAGGATCACACAATTCAGCCAGCCTTGTTAGTTGACTGCGATGCAGTTTTAGCGTGTACCATTTTCTTTCAATAAACCAATTATTATTGTTGTCTTGGAGGTTTGTTATATTTTGGCAGCGATACTGAGATTCAGGTAAAAATTACTCTTGCATTGTGAAGTTTGTACGTACTTTGTACGTACTTTGTACTTTTCTTCTCCTTCAGTAGCATGAGATAGTAACAAACTCCGTACCGGTTTGTTGATGGTTCCCTCCGCTCGGTGATTCACACCTGTGCGACGGTAAGATCAACCATTGGATGGGTGCTCACCTGGAATTTCATTTCCTCTTCACAAGGCCATGTAGGAATGCAGTTGTCTACAGGGCGGATGTACCCTGAACAAGGAACGGTGGGGAAGAACAACAGGGACAGTTTTGACTATCTCGTATGAATGAACAACGGAAGGAGTCTAAAGAAAATTTTCTTCTTCTGTCCTTAAAACGTCCATGTTGCAATAAATGTGCAATATAAGAAACTTATCCCGGACATGATGAAGCTGTCGGATGTTCACTATGCTGACTTGCTGAACCATCGATGGGATTATATGGGCAGAATAATGGGAAATGTGATCATGTAGAGGATATGGTTGATCTGAATTGAATTAAACTAAATTAAGGACGACGACGTCACAAACACATTATGATGACTTTTGTTGTACCTTACTGTGGAATGTAGATTCTCTGGCGCTGTATGTACTATTCTACTATGTATCCCCCTTTGTAGTCCCCAAGCAGACCCGTTTTGGACCTTTTTCGGCGTTTTGTCTGGCTTTCTGTTTTGTCAGGTACTCAAAGAAGAGCCTAAAAAATAAAAAGACTGGCAAAACACATATAAAACTGTAACAAAATGTAACAAAAGACGTAACCTATGTTTGCGAGTTCCCCTTTGTGTCATTCCCATAAACACGAGAGCAGGTAGACGGAGGTACTGGAGCGATGCTGCCCGGGGTGGGGAGAGATAGCCGCACGCACGCCGGAAGGACCCCGTCACAGTTTCCCCTGGCGGAATGCCGTGTCATCAGCGTCTTCGCACGACATCTCTCTCATTCCTCGCACGACGACATTCCCGCTGGCTTCCTGACAAAGTTTGGACCTGTTTTTCCCATGAAGTTCAAAGGAAGCGCGAAGAACGTTTGGACACGACTCAGTTCATCTCCAAATGAAAATGCTCTTTTCCCACCAAAAGCACGCCATGTTCCCAGGGCTTTTCTTTCTGTCGTACATTGCCTGCTCTATTGACTAAACATATATTGCACGTTCTTAAGATAATCTCACTGCATAAAATGACGATATATTAATTCACCCTCAGTCGTAAATTCATTTCTATCTTCAAGATGACACTATATAGCTAGCTTCGTCTTTGCAAATTGAGGTGGGATTCTAACGTAGATTGTCACTTTGACTAAATGTTACAAATGTGAAGAACAATAGTTGACGCCATCGAACTGGACTGTGTCCCAAACATGAAGTAGATGCTCCTGATGACATTATAGTGTGTTTATTGGAAAATTGCAGTCATTCAGTGAAGATGTTACATCTTTGGCAACTTCTCTTGGCTTTAGACGAAGACTGTCGTGGCCTCATGGAGGACCGCCATGGTCGATCAACTGGCAGTTTCAGACCTCCCATGAGAGTCTACAGTTTAGAAGTTCCATAACTGTTACCGTGTAAACAGTCGGCAATCGCTTTCCGTGGTTTGTACGGGCGGAAGGTGTGACAGGGCGTAAACAGTTGGTTATCTTCGCGTCCAAAAGAACGCGTTGGAGAGTAACTAACTACTGTCAGCCAGCCAACGTCTGCATAAACATGTACACAAACTAACCGAGATCCGGGATCTAGCCAAGCATAGGAATATACAACCTGGCTTTCAAGGCAGAACTTGTGACAACTTTAACATCATCTTGGAAAGGACCGTTAACTATAACATCACAGTAAACCGTGGACATTTTCATGAAATGTTTCTATGCATCATTGAGTTCTTTATTGCATAGTGTCAACAGTGTATGGGGTTATTCCTTGGCAGTGAAAAGTTGCCCAACTGATTCCCATCAACAAGTACACAAACAGCGCTTTACATACCAACCTGGTAGGTAACTTTCTAATGATGTTGGCATGTTGCAATGGTCCAAAATGCGTTTCGTATTTTCATGCCTTCTCATTTGTTTCAGATCAGCGTGGTAAGATGTGTAGGCAATAGCAAGCCTAACCAGTTCCATACTTGTAGAAATCCGAATTTGGATAACAACAACAACAGCTGCTGCAACAATGTAGTACATGTACACGAGTCTGTGACGAATAGAGACAAAGCAAATCTCCAAAATCTTTACTTTGTGGTTACATTAACTCGATGTTGCCGATGTTTTGCCGGTCTCAACATTTGTTCATGGCAATACGTAGTAGCAGCGTATTCAATGCAAAGCTTATTTTCATGTTGCCACTACATATTAAAATCACCAGCCTATCTGAACATTTTTCATAGTAATAATTAATACCTCCTTCACAAGTCTTTGCCCTGTCTAATTTCGATGAATATTAACCGTAGACTCAAGAGACATTTCATCGGTGGAAACTCGTGCATTAGGAAGTGTACATGATACGTCGAACTGGACATTGAGATCTTAGGTAAAATCTTTGGGCTCAAACGCTGCTCAAACAAAGTTTTTTTTTAAACTTGCATAACTAATGACATGGGAAATAACTTCTGGCCGTCCAACAGGTAGGTTTTGAATGTAGCCTCTTGTCATGCAGCATTTTAGGCCAGGCTGTCCAGAAAAGCTTCGTATATACTGTACTATTGATACGTCTCTGACGCATGAGCAGAAAGTTTACACACACATAGGGCGTGCACATATTGTAAGAAGAACAGTGTTGTGTTATCAAAGGCATTTTAAAACGAATGGCGACTCATACGAGTGAACCGGTCAGTACTGTTAAATTTAATAAAGGGTTAATGCACTGCCCCGAGTTGTATATGGTGTCATAACTGCATGAGCAGCTGCCATAACCACCGAATAAACCACCGTGTGAGCGAAGCGAACGAGGTGGTTTATGAGGTGGTTATGGCAGCTGCCCATGCAGTTATGACACCATATACAACGAGGAAAAGGCAGTGCATTAAAATTATTATCATATAGCCTATCCAAACTGTCAATCAACACAATTCCTGTTTGAAATACAACAGCTTTAATATATATACATACATAAAAATACATTCGAATATATTATACGCTTTAAAACAAATATGGATAATTTCATTTAATGCAAATTGTAGTTTAAATGAAGCTAAACAAAAAAGTTTATTGGACAGAAAAATGCTACAAAGGTTTACAGAAAGAGTCGCATGCCCCTATACCCTATAACATAATGGTATCAGCCATAACACGACATGTGCTGTTATTCCGCCATAACACCACATGTGCTGTTATCGGGAAATAACAGCACGGGTATCCGGGCCTCTGATTGGTCCGCGCCGTCCGGCTATATGATAATCTCTATTAGCAGCTAAAACGTTTAAGTCTGGTGTAAATTTTCAGGCGGTTATTTTAACAGCAGACCATGCCTAAATCTAAAATCCTCGGATCTTTCAGGATGATAAGGTGGTTTTCAGTAAGATCAATAGCTTACGATTTGGCCGGGGACCAAATTTAAGGCAGCTGGCTTTCAATAAAGGAATATGACTTCAATAGATGCTTTCAAAATTGATACAGAAAAAGTCAGAGAACGTGTAAATGTATATCCTTTATTTCGCCGAAAACACAAGCCGATAACAAAGCAGGTGACCACAGACGTAAACTTACACTACTCCACATCACAATACACCAACAAGACGGCGTATGAAAGGGGATCAGCAAAAACAAATGGATTGGTCTCGCTTAATGTACTCTACCGGTTGGGAATAGAACTCGGGACTTCCGATCCATCTTTTCCTCTGGGTATTGACAGCGAAAATTATATATAGAATGGAATAAAACACAATCGCATAGTCCCTTGACTTCCTTTTTTGCCAAAGTTTTTTTCAACTTTACTTCGATAAAACTAACATCAAATCAACATCCATACGCACCACCGCAGGTCGACCGACAAACTCACTGATGTCGTCTGAATCTAGCTTCGATATGACCAGCGACGGCCTTTCTTCCTCTTACTCTGTAGCTGCAACCTGCAAAATATATGAATCAAAATGAATCAATGAATCACACAGACGGACGTCACTTTAAGATGAAGTAACAAAGATGTTATCTACTGTAATGAAAAAGTCGCAATGAGTGATGACTGGAAAACTCACTAAGGAATCTCACAACTTATGGTCGTAAATAAAACCCTGACAACTTGACTGATGAGCTCTCACAAGACGACAGAAACACGCACACGAACTCATTTATAATTGATCGTAGAAGCGTAGGTTACTTCTACTCTAGTATTAGGACAATGTAGCTCTTTTAAGATGGTCGAGCATACGACAGACATCACGGTTGGACTATAGTGATGATAGACAGACGTCAGCGCCGGTTGCCACACCGGAAGGTTTTAAAGCCTACATGGAAACATGTCTCAATATCAGCCAATGGTAGCTTACATCGCTAATCCGTTTAATTAGCTATATCAGGTGCGCTGTGGCAAAACTAGCATACAGGCACTCTCTATGCCAAGCAGAGGTCGTACAATTTTGGATGTCCTAGAATTTTCAGGCCGTGGTGGTGGTAAAAAAACCAACTGCCTACAAAGATCTGATAGACAGTCTATTCTGTAACATGACAGTTGAATTTTGCAGAACATAGCTTGGAAAGTTTATTGCAAATACATGCCCGAGGGATAATTGCAAATACAAACAACATGTATAAAAAAGAAAATACAATGATATGAGAGACTATATACAGAGTTATACTACATTCTACAACATACGTGATGCTAATTTTGTTGGGTTTGACTTCTTCTCTTGAGGCAGTGGGAGATGAATTTACCCACTTTTTAATATGTGTTTTCTTTTTTCATTTTAGTAGTAAAACTGTTTTCTCTTGGTGGGGGATAGTGGGAAAGTAGGGGTGCATTTTACAATTGGTTTCTGAAATCATCATAAAATGAACAATTAGAGATGAAATCATTTTCGTCTTCCACTGCATTTGAGGGACAATATTTACAAATCCTCTCCGACACAGGTAGTTTTATGTATCGCCCTTTTTCGACTATACAGGACTGCCCTCAGATTGCCCCATCAAGGTTTGTAATCGAACGACGATCGTACGCACGGCGGACCATAAAGCAAGTCAGTTGTCCCTGTAGAGATGCAATAACAACTGCAGCGTGCAGTAGGTTTTATATGAGATTTCCTAAGGACCTCCCGTGCAGCGGAGCCTAGCTGACGGTTCTCTCCACCCTCCCTCCAGAGAACGTACAAACACGGTGTACATTTCGGGTCCCACGATCTGGCCTAGCCCTCATTTCCGCAACCGCTTCTCAGGTTCGGCCCGGGACTGACAAGCCCCACATCAAAGGAACCAAATGTCCCAGTTTGAGCTGTCCGGATCCAACCCCCGCCAACGAAATAAAGCCGCGCGGCAATACATGTATTCTGTAATATGGCGATACACTTATAACTCCACTTGTCTTAGTTCTGTCCAAAATATGGAAGTGCTCAAAGCATTGATTGATTTAATTCTTCCCCAGTAATACGCGCGAGTTTTTTTGGTATGGCAAACTTACCGGCATTGCGGGGATAATAATAATGAGGTAGCCACGAAATACATTCGCATGATCTAAGCTGAATACTCAAGACATACGGAGTTCGAGGTATTAGTTTTAAAACGTAAGAAAAAAAAGAATAGTAGGCGAGTTCGTTTCGTCATGATGTTCCAGTAGCTGATCATACCCTGAAACACGTTTTTCATAGAAGGTATTTGTGACTTTTAGGTTGTTTGTAACATCATAAAAGTTTACCACAACGCAATCCAATATTAAAGACCTCCATGCCGCTATACAACCGTAGTTTAAAGATGAAGTTTACAACATCAGATAGAACTGTAACAAGTCCATGCAAAGTACCATTTGAATATTAACCTTTCATCTGCAGACCTTTCCACGCTTCCTTTTCCAGAGCCGTTTGGGAAGTGGCTGTCGACACTAACATTACAGCTCAGCTTAACATCTTTTGCATCAATCGTTCCCAGAGAAACAATAAGGCACCTGCACATTAGCGGTGGAAAATTAGCGCAAGATGCAGTAGCTGTTGCGTGCAGCACTCACGTCAATGTAGTTAGCTAAAATCTGATACCAACAATATCAGTCAGAACTATTTTGTAGCTACAACGTTGTTCGCTCACTAGACAGCTTGCGAGATGGCTACGAAAGTCCCCACGCAATCACAAGCACACCCACCTTGGCTGGGAGGCAGAAAGTGGCCTCTTGAGCGCCGAGAACTACGGATTTAGCAAGACAAGTGCGCACAGCCCTTTCTACCAGTGACTAAGGTTGGGGGAGAAACGAGTTACCCTCACACTGGTCTGTAGACTTTGCAGTAAATATGGATAAACATTCTCGGTAACAGACACGGAAGCCTGGTGGTTGTGTGGCAACAAATCATCAAGTGGGCGGCCCACAAGAACGGCGATAATTAATCAGAGTATGGCTGCTGACTCTAAAGCGTTCCTTCATCAGAAAACCTAATCAAATAGCTATACTATACACACGGTGATTTGCTGTTGGATGTACCATAGAATGCATGAGAATGCACAAAGTTAGTCTGTACGAGGGCCACATCGTAATGTACAATAAAAAAGGCTAAGATCTGATTGACGCGTGACTATCAAATGCGCGCGTCTCCACGCGATGGTTGGAGATCCTCAGCTCTGATGCATTTTCTAACATCATCGCCTGCCTTGATATCTGTTTGGGCTTCCCCTGACGACTTCCCATCTCGTTACGACTGGACACAAAGAGGCACTTCCTACAAACACGGGCCTATAACGGGGCACGCTGACAGCTACCCCGTGTTGATACAACGAGCTTGGCCGTGTGGAGTGCTGCGGAAAGTGCCACTAAATCACGACAAGAATTCTACCATATCAACAGCGTACACACTCGGTGCTACTTCCAATTAAAGACTCCAAGTGCTGAGTTCTGGACCTGGTACATGTATATAGACATGTTCAACGTGACGTCCTGCCAACCACCTGCTGCACAACTCGCCTCCAGGCCGGCCAGACAGACTCCCTCCACTCCGAACTTGAACAGTTCAGTATCAACATTGCACAAACCAAAATTCATTTTTAACCTCCTAACGCAAACGAAGGATGTTGACCTAAATTCGTAATCAAGTCCACCTACTCATATCTATGTTTCCAATGAAGGCTAGATCTCAGTCAAAATATATATTTGGGGTCATTTGGTAGGTAGGCGGGGTGGAGGCATTTAGGCATTTCTACTAGGCCTTCATGTAACGATAGTCTTCTTGTTACCTTTGCGATACATGGCTTTCTGGGGGAACGTTTGTGGATACAAAGATGACCTTGACATTTAACGTCTGGCTCATATATTTGTCGTCTCGGATTAGAAACTTTCCTTGTCACCCATTCTTGCTTCCTGGCGAATTGCCCCTCTTTGCTGGCACCGCACAAATAACCAAGCGTCATCGGACAAACGTTCATCAAAATTCTAGGGCGAAACTATATTGAGAGGCAGACGTTTGAAACGCCAGCAATGTTCTTCGCGATGACATCCACTCCAACAGAGATGTTTACATGTTGATGTACGCCATGACATCGACAAGATTTATTTTTATAACGAGCACTACATGCGTCGGTGTTTGCATAAGCGCGTGGAGAATACTACGGCAAACACTGGTCCGAGTCCCGGCAAATATTGCCGTGGTTAGAGAGGAAATTGGCAGACGGCGGTATTTGACAGAGATGGTTGGTATAAACAAGACCAGCATCACAGCGGTAAGTATGGCGGGGATGGGTGGAGACTGCAGCCGAGGGAAGACCGAACGGTGGAAATAAAAACTCGCCTGACAAGTGGGAGGGCTGTTACACGAATATGCAGACTGGTGGATATGGCAGAACAGTCCTTTAATTAATTGCTCAGCTGTTGGAAAATAGCGTCTTTATTCAGAAGAACACTTGAAAAAAAAAGTTTTTGCCATCATGCATGTGTCTCAGGGGGCCAAACTTTCTAATCTAGTTCCAGAGCACATGCCGAAAACACAGGCAGAAAGTATCAAGTATAAGGTAATCCTAACGCTCTAGATCTGGTAGTTTGTGACGATGTGTGTATTGTTGTATTCATGGAGACTTTTTGTTGGGTGAAACAAGCATGTTCTCTTCCTAACCCATTGTAAGGTACGTCACTTCACACATACAACCACACTTGTGTAGTTTATTAATTTTCAGGTGTTGTAGCAGTGCATGGTCAATCCTCAGATGCTGCCACTCTACTCTAACATAACTTCTCTGATAATTTCAACAATTTTCATATCGCGCGGACGGCAACTGTTAAGCTACAAAACAAGAAAATTAAAAGCTGCAAAGTACCTGCGTGAATATTAAGTGACTCTTTGTTTATGTCATGTTTATAGTAGTACATAAACAATTCCGTGTTAACGCTTACCATATGCACGTACTGAACACTAATGATGTTTACAACAAACTGTCTCAGATGTTTTCCATAAAAACTCGATTTCTCTTAAAATGGATAAAGGGCCTAGGTCATGTATAATGATTAGATTGATATTTACCATAAATAAGCGTATTTGTCTCTATGTTGGCGCCTTTTTAAACACCACGCTCCCCATATGTACTGGGTGATCTGTGGTCGCGTTTATTGGGCGTTTTTATCAGATTTTAATCTTGTCAATGGGAAACATTTCTCTTGAACTTTTCGTGCTACTAGTAGTATGCAAGCACGGACATTCTTTGTGTCAAATGTTTACGTGTGGGGTCCGGGGCGGCTAGGAACAACAGCTGGCTACGCTGCCCGAATTCATTAGTTGTGCAACTTGGGGAGAAATTTCCTGCGGGCATTTGTTTCATCGGCTCGCGATTTCCAATCAAAGAAAGGCGCGATAGTGTCAGAAGGTCCGGGCGGCAGACAGGGGGTGAGCTGTGTGGGGAGGCGGGCGGCAGGGCGGGCTGGTGCGCGGCTGAGTCTCCGCCAGACTAACAACGCCGGTTGAAAACTAGTAAAATTTAGCCAAATCGGAAGCATAATTTGCCAGGTTTATTTGCCTTTCCATGCAGCTTTATGTGATCTCTCAATAGAAGTCCGTTTTAGCGGTACTAAACATAACCACGTATAACCGATGATTTTGCATCTAATTTCCTTCTTCCAATCCCCCAAAACAGTGACATTAGCTTTAATTTCTCAAAGGAAAATAGACTTACGGATTGCAATACAGAATTGAAGTAGATATACCGTGTCAGATTTCGAATACATCAAATTTGATATAAACAATCGTTTACCCGTAAATACTTAAAAGGTAGAGATTTGGTTTTGAATATGTATACAGACATGTGCGCCTATCGCAGGGCAAGAGGAGCCCTTTCTAGTGGCGCGCTCACATTCGTCGTAGGTCGTCGTGCAATTGTCGTGCCCTAGACCCTAGAATTTTCAAGCAAACGTCTAGACTGTGACAGGGTCGCTGACATCACTGGCAATGTATTTTTGGCATTTTCCGTAACAAGAAAAGTGAATTTTACACGACTATCCCAAGCTAAGAATGCCTTTAGTTTGTGATCGTATCGCCCGTGTCCCTATGCGATCTTATATGTCAGCATGGTCAGACGTTCAGGTATCACAGTGGGACCGACACCACGACCATATCCTACTGGATGACGCAGAAGATCTTCGCAATAATCATTCCCTTTTGATAGATCTTCCTCCGGGTAATGAGGACGTCTGTCTGAATCAGCAGGTGGGTCACGGACCTCGGGCGCCCCTGGACATCTGTGCCGAGCCGGACTGGTCATTCCGACCTGCCAGGGTGAGACAGTCCAGTCACCGGGCCGCGCGGGCCGACCAGCCGGACTATTGTTTCAACCACAGACTTTCATTTCATCATGAATCCATCATTTCCGTCGCCTCTGATTGGCTGTAAATGTAACGTTATTATCTTCCAGTGACTCTGAGTGAGTCCCCCCGTTTTAGTGAAGGTTGCTCATACTAATGTGTGGACCGACTTGTACGTACTTGAGTATAACACACAGGGTGCGCACAAGCGAAGCTTTACTCCGACCAAACCATTCCTTTTGAAAGTAAAGGGACTAAAGGCAATGGCATACAAATATCGACCCGAGTGATGAACTATCAGTAATGTTCGCCTTGAAATTTTGTTCACACTTCAAGTTCAATTATTTCAAGCTAATGATACGTCAAATGCTTTTATTGGTCATTTGAGATGATTAAACGTTCTGTCTGCAGTAAACCTGAATAACGACAGACTTGACGGCAACAAAACAGTTCTGATGAATGATAACTGTGCGTTTGTCATCTGACTTTGTTGCTGCAACAGCCACATACACAATTCGTTAAAGAACAGTGTTGGTACAAAAAGTACTACAGTCTAGTCCAATAGAGGTGTGTTTTTTTCTATGCCGTAGTAGATCAACTCTAAACCACAGTACAGCCAGTATATACCACAAACAATACTCTAAGGGAACGGTATAGAAGCCGGAGAGGTATCTATGTGGGCGATGTTGGAAATGAGTGCCTGCCCTGGAAAATTGTTAATGATGGTTTTTGGAAGCCGTGGTGACTGGCTCTGCACCTGTGTTGAATGGGAATATAAATGTACATATACGAGTACGTCCTATGGTACCTTCTTCTTGTGCTGTCTTACAGTAACCTACAGATGCCAAATATAGCCTCCACCAGGGTTTCTTGAGGAGTTGTACATTACTTAAGGAGTTCTGTATAGGATAGTAGAATTCGGCAAAATCACAAAATAGGGTCCATAATTGGCTGCGGCGAGGGTAACATATTTCTCCTCACTGTGTGGACAAATACAGACTCCCTTGACACTGTACTCTCTCTATAGCCAGCGTGGTGAGTCTGGTAGAGACTAGGTCAATGATTCGCCCTTGACCATGATCCTCAGTCCGTGTCTCTTCCGTTTCCCTGCGTCAACTTCGACTGCCGCCCATGTCCCTGCCAACGTCGATTCGGCGAATCGTGTACAGTAGCCCAAAAGGACGTGCCGAGAAGATAGTCTTAAGATTTATTTGTCACATATCTTAAAACAAAAAAAAAAGATATTTTTTGGTCAGGTGATAACTTTGATATGTAATAGGGCAACAGCGATGTGTTCATGATTATGTAGAATTTCTGATTTAGAAGCTGGAGAAAATCGTTCCCGACCTCACACAACGCCCTGTACCAGTGTCCCAGGGGATCTTTCAAAATCATGGCAAATTGGAAATGTTATATTTCACAGCTTATATTTCAGCATAGATAATGAAGCGTTCGTTAGCTACAACTTGCATATATGTACTCTAATTTTTTTGCCCGGGATTCTTCCGTGTCGTGAGAAATATGTTGTGGGAGTTATAGTGCTTCTGTCTGGGTTATTTTTTTGTAGACTAAGCGAGAGGACTGCGCTTTGACAGCGCGTCACTACGTAGCCGCAGTCGAACCCGCACTGTCTGACACCACAAGATAAAACGCAAAATTCGCCATTGTAAAATAAGGAATTGACAACCAGAAAGACGAAACTTAGAGAAACGAGACGCATCATAATATCTGAGGTTTCTTTTCGTTTATTTTTAAGCTCCAAGAGCGACGGGGTTAGACCGATAGGACGCGACCAGGAGTAGAAGTGAGTCGGGAGCAAAAGGCGAGAATCCCGCCGGCCACGACAAGGGCATCTGTCAGGCGACGACATGATAACAATCGGATTAACAGAACACCATCCGGGGTCGGAAGGCGCCGCTGAGGGCGATGGATCAAAGTACAGCAAGGTTAAATACTTCTCTCAAAAGAAAACAAATTGAGGGATATGGCGAAAATGGAGACAGTTTGTTCCCCGATTGTAGTAAGACATTTTAAGCATATCAGACTGACAAAAGACTTGAATTACAGACAAAAGACTTGAATTACAGATCACAGTTTCCATCATATCGTTCTCTAAAACTCAATATAAACTATCAAACGTAAATTTAAAATGTTTTAAAATCTCTGCGATATTCTATATCAGTCACTTTTTGTCTTGATGGCAATAAAATCAAACATAGCGAATCTACTGGGAGCGTGAATACGGTATACCTGACGTTGATAGATTTCAATTTAAAATGGTTCATTCCATCGGTAGCATGGGACTAGTTGCTGAAATTAATCCCACGATAGCAACTTCTTTTAGTTCTGGTTTTATATTCAATACATTCTCGTAACAATTAGCCACCGGTTGGTTTTAGAGGCAAATGAAATTGAAAGAAATCTTACGAGTATTTTAGGAGACGTAGAATAGGTACATGTATATGTCCTTTCCTTTGTTGACCTGACCAGTATTATCTATTCTTTGCAAGCTATTGCCATGTTGCAATGTAATTCGCTCTAAAAACTGCAATGGCCATTGTATAAGACTGTCAATGTATTTTAGATTTCACGGCATTGTTTTTGCATATAGTCACAGTTGTAACGACAAATGTTCATTTGGTTATGCTGCGTTTTGTATACAACAGCCTTAAAACGGACCGTAACATTTTCATGATACATTACTGCGATATCTGTATCTTATTTTAGATCGATAAATTTCTGTTCCACTGCCAGTTGTCCGTCTGGCCGGAGGGTCATCTCCCGGTCACCTGTCGGACAGGTGAGCTGACAAGATAATCCACAGGGCTGTAGTCAGGACACGGGGTCGGAAGCGTGCTGGCCACCGCCCCAGGCACGGCTACACACCCGCCCGTCACCGGGCCGAGCCGCGGGGTGGAGGCGGAGGGGGCGGAGACCTGACCGCGGCCAGACGGCGACAGTGTACGGGACGATGAGACACTCCTGCCGAAGGACGACCTCCTTCTCACACGCCCGTCACCAGAGCGACTGTGTGACGCAGAGGGGCGGACCCGGAGACCTGACCGCGACCAGAAGACTACAGTATGCGGGACAAAAGGACACTCATGCCGAAGGACGACCTCCTATCACGTCGGGAAGCGTCCGAGACTTCTGAATATCAAAGACTGAAATAGAGTCTGTACGTTCTTATCACAGGAAATCTAGAATATTACTTAGATCCTCTCGGGCGACGGTTATCATTTTTAAACCTCATCTGAGACCAAGATGCAGATGATTCAAGTCTTAAACATGAGAAAAATGGAGGATAACATGAAGAAATAATTGACATGAAAAATGGTGGACTTTCTATGCGAAGGGACACAAGCATTTTTCAGCTCATGACATTAAGCACATTTATTAGGGACTTCCCGGGTGTAGTCATGACTTTGCCATGTCTGCAGACGTCCAAGAAGGTAAAAGTTAGTGACTTGAGATGGTGACTCATCAGTCTACGGGGACTCGGGAGTCGACTTGTGATATGTCCGGGTCCAAACTACGACTTGTTGTCCGGAGTTCTGGAGACATGCATCCATTGGTATCGTGCATGTACGGTGTTGGGTTGAGGCACACGGAGGGATTAGTCTGGACATGTCATATGTCGTGCGACTCGTGCCTTATCACTGACAACTTGGAAACAGGGCTGTGCGACGACTTAAACTCTACAAGACACCTGGACACCTGACGAAGACGCGAACTAAGTTACGGCCTGACCTGAAAGTCGCGAGACACAACTATACCGGAGCGAAGTCAAACATGAACACCCAATCCACGGCAGCCTGGATCATATACCAAAGGCTATCGATTCAAGTCAATATCGGCACATCCAAAAATGGACATTTTCCTGTCCAAGAATGTTAGGTACTTTATCAGTCGTCACCCCTAAAAGTCCTACACCACATGTACATCAGTTCAAACACCTGGTCTAGGCACACGTACACGGTGAAACAACACAAGTGTATAGCGTCCAGGCTTTTCCTTCTGTATGGCATAATAGGTGAAAATAATCATAGAGCAAACGCAAAGTGGAAAATGCCGATTTGGTAATTTTACGGAAAGGGGGCACTATCTATACGTGTTTTTTTTTACAACATGTCGTGACAAAATGAAAATTACACATTTTTTTTGTCCGCGGTATATAATGCTTATTTCTGAAGTTTCTTTAACGTAAATGATGGGTTTCGACGTACCGCATTAGTTCACATTAGAAAAAAAGGTTGCTGATACAATCACGTTTAGCAGCAATTAGGTTTCAAAAGGCTTCTAACCTGCGTCAACAGAAGCCCAGGAACAACAGATGTGTGTTGAGGCACAGGTACTAGGGACATGCTCACAGAACCAGGTATTTGTCAAAAAATCTAGCGAAATGCGGACCGTAACATAACTCCAGGGACTGGGTGTTAGAATAACATCAGTCCTTCCGGCCTTCGCTATAGTTGTTTGTTTTGTAACTGACTTCATTTTCCTGACATTTCGGGAGGAAAAACGCCAATACTACTGCACGCAAGATTTTTAAGATCCGAAAGCTCTAAGGCTGAGACCACATGACGGGGACCGTTGTTGAGCAATCAAAAATGGATTTGTGTGAGCCTTGATGTTATATTTCTTAAACATGAGGTACGATGTTTATTAAGAAATATATGAAAGACAACAAAACATACAAAACGTGACAAAGTCGTTCATTATGTATGAAAATCGTTGAGCAACCTGTCAAATTTTGGGTCGCTCCAGTGGAAATGGGTTGGCTGTAAGCGTATGCTGCCCGCGTGTGACAGACGCATGTAATTTGGTACAAAACGGTTTAAACAGAAAATATCCCCATTTGAATGCATAATTTCTGTTGATGGCAAAATAAAAGCTCCACGCGATAACAGGAGTATATCTCCTCTCTGTGAACACACTCATCCGACAAATTGGCGAAATTATCAAGACATAGAAAATAGGCTAATTGCTGGGTGATCCGTATACTTTGCTGTCTGACTGGTCTACCTGTTCTGTGGATAATGCCAACATAAAAAGGATCCGTCAAGACTGGATTAAAATTGTCTACATTCGAATTGTGAAAAAAATCATTGCAGTGGTTTCGTTTTATGTGCTTTAATCAATTATCATCGGTTTGGTTTCAAAAGATGTTCGTAACCAGTAAAACCCGCGACACAGTAAGTAGTTATTACCGAGCAGATAAATACAAGTCAACGTTTAGTCTGAATCTCAATGAATGTAAAATTTGCATAAGAAAAATAACACATGAATGGTGCAAGTTTTACATCTTATTACCATCTGATGCAACTTTCCTTTTGGATTAAAGGGCTTTAAGGTGAAACAATAATGCTCTTTATGAATTCGAAGCAAGAATGTGTAGTGAACACACCGTTTCTGCAGCAACTGTTTAAAGTAAGAAAAGGAAAACGTCAAGCGACAGGACGCCGTTTGTGTACTCCCGAGACGTAATAACTCTATGTATGTTTATATATCTGTTTGAAGACTAATTTACGCCCTGTCCAAAGCCCTTTGGGCAGAAACGTACAAACTACAATGCTTCTCATTAGCTTTACCTCTGGTAATGTTAAGGGAAAAAAACTAACTCGGAGAGGGCTTCCTAACCGGACGTTTAAACAAGCTTCCTCGTTATCAAATAACGACTGAACAATACTATCTAATAGCCAGTCTACAAGATACGAAGTGTATTTCCTCCCTCTATGTTACAAGTTAAATGGAGAAGAAGAACTGCGGATGCAATTCTGAAGTCACTGCAGTGGTAGCGCCTGTGCCCTGAAGGAAATTTTTGGCCTCTTTGTAGCGAAGTCGTCCTGAATGCGGACGGGAAGCCAGAAATCCCGTAATGAAAGAAATGGGCTTAGTCTAACCCCTCCCGAGCCAGTGAAGATCATATTTTGATACGGAACCAGCCAAATCGCCGACTTCCAAAGCCAGGGGCCTAGCTGCTTTGATGCTGACAATTGTAGGGATGCGCGCCGCGACAGATAAGGCTACACTCTGGGAAAACTCGGAGGAAATTCTCACTGATCTACATGTGCTGCCCACTGTGTTCTACAAAAAAACTGGGGTCGACTAGTAGGTTAGCGCCGTCCACGCTTAAAGTGTAGGTTAACTTTGTGCAGAAGCGCCGCTGTCCACGTATTCCGGGTTTTGCCTTTAAACAGACTGAAGAAACTATGGCTATGGGATGGATTGCGACAAGGCTCAACAAGGCTTATGTTTGACTACAAATACAGCGGCAGTGTCATGATATATGGCTGCAGCGCTACTCCTGGCGGGGAGCCTATGCGTGCAGTTGTGCTGTAATAAACGGAACAACCGCAAAATCCATGACTTTGCGTGGTACCTATCTTCGTCAACGAAGGCCTACCAAGACATATCTTCTCACCTGACTTTACCCTGATCTTAAGATAGACAGGCCAACGTGTTGTCTCTTGGCATGCGTAAATACTGTCCATACTGAAAACAAACGTGGTAACGAAAATAGTCCTGAGGTAAAACAGTGTCCTTACAACTTTAGTCAACTCTAATACGACAGAAATCCTACAGGAAATACCACCAGGCTATTTATTTCTTCAACACCGACACGAAGAGCTAACCCAAGCACGGCATGTGGATGATATTTACAAATATGCGTACTTGCTTTCTACACCGTGCTTTCTAACAAGGAACTTTTCCCTTTCCAAACTGATACGGTTATGTACACAGCAGGATCATGCGGTAATATTGTACGGAAACAACGACTTCATCCACCTGTCGTACACTTGTTTGCTTCAAGTAAAATGGAGAATGGGCACAGTACGGATTTATGCAGCTGACGCCGATATTCCGACGATTTGAACTGTCCAATTGGACCATCCACTCCCAGTGCGACAAGTCTCGCACATGGCCGACCGCTAATTCCACCGCGGATTGTTTCCATATCGCCAGCCTTTCCACAGCGTCCGCCGACCTAAATTTGGCAGTCTGGACAGGTGGCTATCTCTGGGCGAGGTTAACCCCACCTATCCCCCTTGATCCGGCGGGGCTTAGGGCCTCTTTACAAAGTAACTTATCCCGATCCCCTCGGATTGTTCGCTGTTTTAAATAAAGCCTGTTTAGTCAGGGGCACTTGACGTATTTCTATCCTCTTGATAAGTTTTCTTCCCGCTCTTCTGGCACCACTTCGTGATCTGTCTTGTACACATTGTGCCTTCACAGTCACTGGAATACACCATTCATCTTAGGGTCTGGTCATAGTCGCCGTACGATCGTCGTACGATCGCAAAATGAGAGCATTCTAGGGGTACGAGTTCATACATGTGTCCTGCAACATCCAACTGTCTCGATCTCGATCACATTCAAAATTAGTGCCGAATCATAATATAATTTCAATGTAATTGGTGCTTGGTTTATCATTCTACCCTCTATTAACTTGAACCCCGAATATTTCTGTGAAATATGTCTGATGTACATAATGCTATTAATCACACTTTTACATTCTGATAAGATTAAGTTCAATGACATTTGTGGGTATCACCGACCCTGACTTCAGCAGTTACGAATACGTCCTTCCGAAGAATAAAACTCCACATGATATCCCAAAGTAACTTACGGGTATTTGGGAGGTTTTGTTTTTTCTCAGAAGTGACCACGAGAAAGCCTATCGATGTAGCACGGAGATAACTTTATAGTTATAGTAATTTAATAATTATAGTAACCCACCGAAAATGATTTCACCAAAAATAATTTAAGTAACCCACCGAAAATAATTATAGTAACCCAGTCATCTTATGCCGTATGGAGGTATCATTGAGGAAATGCCAACAATTGTGAGTTAACATGGCTTCATGTAACTTTTTCATAATTCCTACATTGAACTATTACTTTCCCATCGTCTTCATATATTCCTCAGCATTTGTAGTGTTGTTCTCTGCTGTTTTACCGTCCCTAGCAGAATAAAAATTGTTAAAGTTCTACATGATAAACTCATCAGGCATAACAATAGTCCGACCTATCATCACGTCTATGGACAGGCCTGGACTTCAACAGGGTGTCATAGTGATCACTGTTGTGATACGGGCGCTCCTTTGAAGTGAGAAATGGAAGCTGTATTTGCACGAGGAAGCTTGCTAGACCGTCGTCTTGTGTTTTTCTTGTGATACCTTTCCCTTTGGGAACGCCAGCACCCAGTCCTACTATCCTCAGGCCGATTACGGGACACTCGAAACCCTATCCGACAAGACCAGTCCGATCTGTGCCAGATAAAAGTCCAGGAAAAATAACCCCGGTATTTAGATAATTCAAACGCCTTCTTTCAGGTCATGCCGCTGAGAAAATGTGCCAATTAGTTTATTTGGTATCGTTGTTACTACCTTATCGTTCAGGTAGGCGGAAGTGTGGGACAATGTGGTACAACAGTGGGAAATGTGATGAGGAGGGTGCTTGGGGGACTGCTGTCCCGGTGTGAATGGTTGATCAATGTTGACAAAAGTTTGATGTGGTACAACCATGGATGGGCGCATATCTTAACGACATCAAAACAGCGACTGCTTCACCCTAAACAAGAGGCCCCGGCGGGGCCGGACAGGTATCACTACCGCATCTCACCATCACAGGTCGCCGTTACCCCAGATCTTTAGTCGATTATCCCCAGTACAAACAAACCCGTGTCGGGCAGCGTTTGTAGTGTTGTTCTCCAGAATTGTTACAGTGGAGAGGCCTTCTTTTCGGCAGAAGCGGTCCATTGTCCCAGGGTCAACACTATCCCTCACCTGCGGAAAGTGATCTGCTTTAATTGTGGGGTAAAACTCGGATGCCGACCCTTCGATCTTTCCGCGCACTCGCGAGCTGGGGCCGACGGGAAAATATTAGCCCAAGGCGAGGCGGGTTCGCTCTTCTGTAATAACGACGTCCGATTCTGCGACGACCAAGGATAGCAAAAAACTCTTGTCAACAACAAAGCGGAAATTTCCGGTTGCACCCATTTTTCCAAAGGAAACGTCATGATCCTACGTGGTAAATGGGTAGGGACAGTGGCTTTAGAAGGAAGTGTTGGATTAGGAAAAGTGGGAAAGGTTCCACACATGACTAGGCTGACTTACCCTCCTTACAGCTGGCCGTGTGCGCAACCCCGTGGCCGGGCAGGGTTCTCTGACAAACGCCGACGACTCACGAAGTGGGCCGAACGTGTCTCGGTCACCTGTCCCTCTCGTGTCGGACCTACAGACGAGAAACAAAGTAAAGTTTATCAAGATATGCGCCTTTCGATAAGCCATCGGTTACGGCAGCGTGCAGTATGGACTGATTATGCAAATGTCATGCCGGTAAAACAGACCTGTTGAATGGGGGAGACCCATTGACGTTTATAGACCCACCTTAGACCACGGCAGCAGACGGGCCAATTCGACCCCCGGCTCTAAATGGTAGCAGTAAAACGGGTCTGGATTAGCCAAGAGTAAACTTAATTAAGGTCATAACAGCCAGGGTTGGACCATGTCCAAACATTACTTCTTGATCCCGCCCACCATGAAATGGTCCGCCCCCAAGGAAATCATTTGGGCAGGGGGAGGGCGGGCCTGATTGACAAATGCAGCCACGCAACAAATAAACAGTGCGTCTGCGCGCCCTCACACAGTGGAGTCCGCGGTGTGGCAGCCGTCAGTGTCGGTGTTGTGGCAGCAGAGTCAGTGTGCGTACGTCCCCAGCTCGGTCACAACGTGATTTAGCGCTCTTCCGCCGCCAGACTTGTCCTTCTGACGCCTCCGGTCGCTTCCTCCAACCTGACCACGCCGAGGCGCACTGCGAGTCTGAAGTCAAACTTTCCCAACTGAAGACGGCCTTGGCGTGAAACTGTGACCACTTCACTAGTGTGCAGTTCGCACAACAAGACGGTTGTTGCTAACTCACGTCCATTGCGATTTAAGAAACTGTGGGAAGACTTTCACAACAAGCCGTGGACATTGTGAGGATCCGTTTTGACAACTCTGGAGTCGTCACAGCGCGCCTGGACCAGGGGATTCCAAGATTTCGCAATGACTTCGATGCGCCCGCAGCCGGACCTCATGGACAACATGCAACAGTACGCGAGTGTCGATAGCATGGCGATGTATTCCCGTAATATCCAGGCACCACAGCACAGCGGCTATCCGCTAGAATATCCCCAGACGTCCTACTCCTCACACTGGTTTAACGGACTCACCAACCCCTACCTGAATATTTCTTCCAACGCGGGGTACGGCATGCCGAGTTCCTACACGCCTCCGCCGCCGCCACAGAGGAACTACCTCACTCCGCCAGGCTTCGGGAGCTCCGACTTGAGTTGGATCTCTCTGCCGTCTCAACAGGAGCTGTTCAAGCTCGTCAGGCCGCCTTACTCCTACTCCGCTCTCATCGCCATGGCCATCCAGGCCGCCCCGGAGAAGAAGCTCACGCTGTCCGGTATCTACCAGTACGTGGCCGACAACTTCCCGTTTTACAAGAAGAGCAAGGCCGGCTGGCAGAACTCTATCCGGCACAACCTCTCACTGAACGACTGCTTCAAGAAAGTGCCAAGGGACGAAGACGATCCAGGCAAGGGCAATTACTGGACCCTCGACCCTAACTGTGAGAAGATGTTCGACAACGGCAACTTCAGGAGAAAGAGGAAGAGGAGGGACCAGTCCGGCGGCGCCGGGGGGCAGCAGAACCGGCCGCCGGGCGTCCCCAACCCTGCCTCCAAACCCGCCGGCACGCTAGAGAACGACCCGGTCCCCAGCGCCGCCGCCACGGCACAACAGGTGCTCGCGCCCAAGCAGCCTTCCATCGCCAGCGACGTCCTGCCTCCAGCCGACGTGCCTCCGTCAGCGGGGCAGACCCACACTTCCCTCGGCATGATGAGCGACATGAGCCGACAGCACCACCCGCCCAGCTGCGGCGCACCCATGCACGGACCTCCATCGACCCACAACCAGACCCTGTCGGGACACCACGACGTCTACTCCGGGCAACACTCGCACCACACGTCGGTGACGAATCCCTTCAACTTCAGCGTCAACAACCTTATTCACTCCACAGAGAACAAGGTATGAACCCAACAACATAAATGCAACATCACGAACTCTGTACACCAAACTTACCTGAACTCGAACTCAAGTATAACATTTTAGTGGAATGTCTCTTGGGCGCTGAGTTGTACCAAAAGAGTGGAGAAAGGACTTCCTCCGAACAAGCAATGTTGTACGAGATTTGTATCCTATTTGCTGAACTTAATAATGCTTTTACAACGGATTTTAAGGAAAGATATCATCCTAATCATAGGTCTCTGTAAATGAGATTACAACACAGGTAGATGTACATAGTCTACCTGCTCAGCAAAAGGTAAAAAGATAACTGCGCCCTTCTTTGTGGAAACAGACCGTACTCTCCAATTCTCACTGAATTTCTTGACTAGACGACTGTTTTTGAACAGAAAGTGTACAAAAATGTTTATCCAAGTCCGTATAAGAATCACTATTGGTAGTAGGTACTTTGCAGAGATGTTTGTTGTACAATCATCTAAAGTGTTTTGATTCGTTTCTCTATCTTATTTTTGTGTAATTTATCTCACATAATTTGAATCTGATGACAAAGTTGCGATCTCTTATGTAGTAAGCAAAGCTTACCAAAGAAAGAGTGATTTTTGTGTGATTACCATATCAAATCATGTATTTATATAGTGGACAGTAGAGGAGTATAAAATAAGGAAATATGCCCAAGTGGCTAGGATTACCCTGCTTACAGGATGGTCTTGAACCATACTTTGTGCTTATAATGGCCTGATATATTAGGTCGGAAGTTTTCTGGTGAAGCCATGTGGTGTTTTCACCGCCGCGCTCTCAATTTGTTTGGCTTGTTTGTATATTTTGTGTTATGAGCACGCTGCTCCGGGCTTGTGTCCCAACACCAGAATCAGGCCACTTGGCCAACAGAAAATATTGCCCTTTTCCCGCTGGGACTATGTGGTAAATATTTCCGCATGTATAATTTTTGTCCTCAGCATTTAAAATTTCATAAAACAGCTAAAATGGCATTCATTTTTTTCAGTTTTGGAAATGTACGCATATGATATTTCTATATCAAGGGCATCATTATCGCACAAAGTTAGAGGATGGATTTCTTCTCATTAAAAACTCTTCCGAGGAGCGAAACTTTGATTTTGGCAGACATTTAATCCACACAAATATTACTTCAGCGCCAGAGAATCAAGAAGACGAAATAATGCTGGATGAATAATTATAATTACAATGAATATATATAAAACTTGTTAAGTAATTTTTGTTCAAAATGAGTTGCGTAAGATGTACATATCAAATTTTTTGACTGTTGCAGAGTATATAACTAGCAGCATACTAGTCTAAATAAGTACCGTTATGTACGTACGAGACGTCTATACTAGTTGGTTGATTCTTTTTTTGTTGTCTTTATTGTATCGAAGTCACCCATGTGGTTAGCCTTTTGGCAAACAACGTCTCCCGTGAATAAAGAAAGCTTGTTGTGGCTCACTCCCGCCCTTGTGCATGCTTATTGACTACATTTCATCCGTACAGAGAAACCCTGGTTAACCCGCGCCCGCGGTCTCAGGTTGGGCGGGTAGCTTTCTTAGAACATTGTGTTTTCTCAAGGGCAGAACGTCAACCACTTCTCCACGGTAGGGAGACAGATACACGTCAAAACCCTTCCACACAGACAGTTGGCTTATCCTGTCGAGGACAAATAAGATATGTTTAAAGACGTATGTAAGAAAACTTAAATACAGGGAACAAAAATCTTTGATTTACCATTTCACGGACATTTCCAAACGTATGTTGGTGGTTTGCAGGGATAAAATAACGTCGTGATTTCCTCGCTACAACAAGAAAGGCGCCCTGTCCGCCGATGTAACCGATCTAGCAGCAATGTTTTCGAGGAATCCAAATTCATCCCCACAGACTCAGCACTAAGTAGTATTGCAGAGTCCATGTGAGATTTTTCAAGGCTTTGATCTTTGCCAAGTAAAACACCTTTGATGACAGAAATCGATTTTGTCATGGCAGACCAGTGCTCTGAGGTGGTTGAACAAACGGAAATTTTCTTCTTCCATGGTTGAACTAGAGGCCTATGACTGTCTACGACTCACAATTTTCATGTCAAACCTAGTGTCTGTAAATTGTAGCTTTGTTAGGAGACAACTAATTAGATTAAAACAAAATCTGTAGCAAAATTTACAAGTTATTAACCACATGTTGTAAGTTTTCTAAAAGCCTCTCCAAATCTCTACATCTATTTCAAGTCCAATCTGTTACAACTAATCCGCCTTGAAATATTTGGTAATCGTTAGAGAGAAATCACTTTAAACCTAAGCTTTTGTTTCAAACTGTGAAAATGTGTCGTCTAGACAGTGAGCCAGGTAACAAACAGTGCGTGAGGCTTTTTAGGCTGTTAAAACATAAGTCTTAACACTAACCACGCATCCAGACTCCGCAGAGTACCAAAATTAGTGTGGAGAAAAAATCAGACCGTTTCATTTACAAGTATGCAGTGCTGCTTATACTGTACGGAACCCGGGGTGTTTGGGAAATATGCGACGGCGCTTGCAACATACATGTAGCACCCATGGCGGGTTAAGTCAGCAATCAATTTCTCTCCCACCTTGTGTTGAAGTACATAAGCTTGTAATTTTCTTCCCCCTTTTCAAACGGTCTGGTCTTATCTAGTGAAAGTTGCAAAACCACCAGGAAGAGTACTGGGTTTTAATTAATAGTAAAATGTTTATAATGCCCGTGTCTGGTCGCTACCGCTGGTGTTCTGGGTTTTCTCAGGAACTTCTGACGCTGTTGCCCCGTCAGCACTGCTCTCCAAGCAGAGGCTAGGTCTGTTTTGAACTTCACAAAAGCTTTTAAAGGCATATTGTCGGGTTTTCTACTTTGCCGAATTTTCTTTGGGTATCCTGGCCAGAAAAATGTAAAAGAAAAGGGCATAGCCTCTGCTTGGGGAGTAATTGTAACACCCTTATGCTACAGGTTGACAACATACATTTGGTTACGAGAGGTAAAAAGTATCAGCACTCATACAACATAAAAGTACTTAACCAAACTTACTGAATATGTTTTTTTAAAATCACGGATCAGGAAATTTCCTTTAAGTTAAATCAAAGTTGCGTACTCGGATACCGCTGTCGATAACTCACAGGTTTGCCGTCCACAAGAAAATACAGAAATTACTTTTTCATTGCTTTGTTTTAATGGCTCAAAATGCTAAAGAGGTGCGTATTTACGCATGTAATAATGACTTATGATTAGAGATTTTAGAAATCATTATAGATTTCAAGTCGTCCTCCAAAGTGAAGTTAGAAATCTACCGGTAAACTAAATGTATACAACTTGCTTGCTACAACTTGCAGTCGTTAGAAACTACTCGCGATCGTCTTACGAAAGGCATTTTTTAAATTCTAACCAAACCGTACATGATTGCATTGGATTAAGGTATCTCAACTTTAAAACTTTTTTTCAACTTTAGGAACCAAAATTACACTTGATCACCATGCAGCATGTAGAGAAAACAGTATGTAGAAAATGTCGCATAGTACGGCGTGACATACATGTACATGTACTTACTTGAGGCAATACTAGTATGTTACACAAGACTCTCTAAAAAGCCGGCTTTCTGAAGAGAAACTTCGGCTTTAATGATGTCTCGAATTAGATCATTCTGATCCCGTATGTGGTTTGTGAACGGTTCGCCGTGCCCGTACAACCGTCCCGGCTTTTAGCGGCCCGACAAGACGTTTATTCCAAACACCGGCAGGTGCAGGACGGGAACAACACGGCTTATGGCACGGGTAGTCAACTGTAGCTTTGTTTTAGTACATTTAGGGTTTTACCTACCATGTTTGTACACAAAATGGCACCCAAAACCAGTAATAGTAAGGAATAAATACAGCGGTAACCGCGTACAAAAATGGTTTCATTGAGTTTTCCGTGTGAGTATGTGTACGATCGTTTACCAAGATTTTCGGCCAGTACGTACTTCGGAGAGAATCGCTCCATTAACGTTAATTGAAATGATCATTACTTTCTGTATTTCGAATCAGAATATCATTTTCTAATGACCAATGATTGGAAAGCGAGGTTCCTAAACGTCATTACAACGATATACAGTACTCTGACTGGAAGCATGTACTACTACAGCCAGACAATGTGTATCAACAAGCAGGTAAACGTTACGTTGCATGGTTGTGACACTAACGGCCCGACCTTTACAACATGTCCTCCACACTTGTACCTTTGCCACCAGGCATGCACCCTAACTTTGACAATGGCAGCTCATTATAGAAATGAATTCCACAGGAAATTGGTAGACAACAATGGCGTCATTCATATCATGAAATTTCTTGTCAACGGTTCCGTACGATATACACATTTAGAAAAGAAAGTCCGTCGATTTGAGCTGACGTTATCATTGCTAGTTTCATAGAAAATAGATACGTTTTTGTCGTGAGTATCATTCGACTGGTGACGCTACCATAGCCCTGCGGAGCCCGTCCGTGTTGGTCTGTTGTCCGGGGAAACCCTACCCCAGACCGGCACTTTTCCAAGATGCGATGAAAGACCGAAAACGGGTGTCAGTGTACCCGGCATGGACTTTGTGAAAACCTATCCGGGCGGCGGCGGGAGAGGGGGTGATACGGGTGATACCTGGGCGGCTGTCTCCCGCGGGTAGCCGGCAGGGAGAGGGGGTGATACGGGTGATACCTGGGCGGCTGTCTCCCGCGGGTAGCCGGCAGAGAGAAAGGAGCGGAATCTCATAAGGCCCTCTTTCCAAACTAATTGACCAAAATTGGATTTATGTAACTCTTCAAACGACAACAAAACACACAAAATGTTTTTAAAAAAATCGTTCTTTGTCCATGAAATATATTGAGTGATCTGTCGAATATTTGGTCGCTCAGCGATCACAGTCTCTAGAGGTAAGTTGCCCGGGTGTGAGTGATGTCCCGTGTAGATGTCCCGTGTAGATATTTGATGATAATTGCTGTGCATTTTAACGTGATGACAGATACCGGGGGCTAAGTACAGACACGTGGCACGTATCTGCTGTCATATCCGTAAAAGAAAATTAGGAAAAAACACGTCTAAACCTCCACACTAATACAACAGGTGCCGACTTGGCCGCAATGGCGAGGCCAATGTCATAGTAACGACAAGAACAACATGAATATTTTCCCTGGAAGACTAAAACTCCGGAAGAAAACCGTTCAGACAAAACTCTTCATCTTGGGGCACGAGGATGTACATTGTGTAACATGCCAGCAGTGACTCATTAATATATTGTGCTAGCTAGATGAGCCTAGCACGCGTTTAATCTAGATAACGTACTGATACAATACTAACATCGTGGTAAGCTATGAAATATTACGGTACATACCACAGGTGTTTAAGCCGATGTCAGATATTTACAAGAAATAGTTACATAATATACAGAAATGAGGCACATACACACAAAATAATATTGACAAAATCTACAGACCGATATGACATGAAAAAACTAACATGCATTTGGGTAGAGTGTTTTCCTGTTCATGTGAAAGAAGTAAAGGTTTTGTTATCCGAGAAAGGATGAATTAAAGATGAACTGTAACGGCTCCTAAACAGGTGACTGCCATCATAGTGTCATAAACTTGCCCAGGTATGGCATGTTAATGACATTACAGGCACAGACACACGGCTTGTATACTATGTAGGGGACAATGAAGCTCATCAATTATCCCATACCTTGTACATTTTCTCTGGATAGAAATATACAACTTGCTTTATGGCCCTTGATACACCTCAACGCCACGAGTGTTTCATGAATATTTAACGACATTAAATATTCTAAAAAGCTTCTTCTACAGCTTCTCGCGTTTTCCCTTGATTAAAAAGTACGCTCATTGTGCACCTGATCTGATATAATTAATTGTCGTGTCATAAAGTTTTTTTTCGACACGATCAAAACTCCGTCGCTGTTGAAGATATCATAAATCATCTGACATGGGTTAATCAATTTCGACTGGATAAACACCTTTGATATTTACGAAAATATCATGTATGGACATACCGTGTAATATCCGTACTTAGTGGCAAGGAGGTGGATCGTGTGTCCTCGGGGCACGGTCACATATGTCGTACGATCGTCGCACGATCGCAAATTGTGGGTTTGGGATAGTCATACTTCCAAACTTTAGCTGCCTTGTTACGGAAAAGACTGTCTAGGATCCTTGTCAGCGTTTGCATTGGTTCTGTTACAGCCTGCTTAAAATGTTGCATCATCAATAACTGTATTTATCTTCATCTTGTTTTAAAAATATAATTGTGAAAGTGTAATTACCGTGACATGTCACAAACATATTGATAAATGCAATGATGTCAATACGCAAAAAAATGTGCTTCCCCAATCTAAAGTGGAAACAGCAACATACTAAACATAGTAAATGCATTCCCATGGAAGGTCTGTACGGTTCAGGTTTATAGAAGCATCTGTTTAACGATA